GTTTGTATGTGTGTAAGGACAGTACGGGGCCTAGTGGCCGTAATTAATAATTGCAGAGACAGGGACAGACAGGGCCAAATGAGGTGAGAGAGAGAGTTCGTGGAAAAGGGGCGTGGCTGAGTCGGCGGGGGGATAAAAGGCGGCGCGTTTGCAGGGCTCAGGGCTGCTGCGGGGATCCGAAGTTGGACCGTCGTCGATGTCGTCATCAGGAAGTGGATCGTCCTCACCGTCTGGGAGCGGGTTGCCTTATTGTCTAGGTAGACCTAAGTAGATTATATTTATATTCTTAGTTTTTTCGGTAAAGTCACGTTGAAGAGAAACAACAAAATAACAAAATATATATAAAACAATAAAAATTCTCACGACGTTTCGACCATAACTCAAACGGTCATCATCAGGTGTGTCGGTGTGTCGGTTTGCAAACCGACACACCTGATGATGACCGTTTGAGTTATGGTCGAAACGTCGTGAGAATTTTTATTGTTTTATATACGGTCATCATCAGGTGTGTCGGTTTGCAAACCGACACACCTGATGATGACCGTTTGAGTTATGGTCGAAACGTCGTGAGAATTTTTATTGTTTTATATATATTTTGTTATTTTGTTGTTTCTCTTCAACGTGACTTTACCGAAAAAACTAAGAATATGAATTACTGCAGTCACGAAAGCTTTAAATCAAAATTTAGATTATATTTATCGTCGCCGTAGCTGTTACTTTGGTCGGCTCCTATATTGTCAGCCAGCTATGTAGGTGACGCCGTGTAGCAGTTACAGAAAGTTACCCACTCTACATAGTCAACTCGCGTCCGCGCGCTAGCATGCCATCGAGTCGGGCGGACCGGAATGGACAATAAATATATATATACATAACCTGGACAAGACCGTCTCTGAGTGCTACATTACACGTGTATGTTCGTCCACTTCACGAGGCTCCATTTAATGTAAGGAAGCTCATGGAAGAAGCTCCCTCACTGCCGGGGGCGGTTGCTCTTTTATCACTAGCAGGAGGCAAAGGAGTGACACAGCGAGCAGAGAGGATCGTGCGGCTGAAGCACAGCGAAGTGAGCAGTGGGGAGCACAAGCGGTGCAAACCACACTTTTTTTAGAGCGTGTCCCGTGACCTCCTGCCGGCCAGTGATTATCATTGCATATTTTCACAAAGTGCATTGAGCATTGCACAATCACTGTGGTGATGCTCTCGCTACCGGGTGGTGAATGACAGGTGTGTATGGTGGAGTGGTGCTATTGTGGTTAGCACACCGCACTATACTATTTCAGCAACCTGTGTTTGATGCCTGACCGTGCACATTATGGGCATGGCTAATTGGCATCTGTATCTAAACTGAGCCTTCTCTAGGTTGACTTGGCCTCAAGGTGGTGGTGCAATTTAAATGAGGTTTATCGTAATCTTTTAAGATGAGGCTTCATTCTGGCCAGGTCATGTTGCCATTTGGCATTTGCTACAATAGAACAGCTAGGAGTGTACTGCACGTAGAAAATTTTGGCATAATTAAAGGTAATGCGAAATATGACACGGGGGATTTTTATTATTTAAGTGTTTGACTTCAGTGAACTCTTCCAATCTTAATTGCGGTGTAAGTGTTCTTTGGCAGCGTCGTCACCAACACACGCGCACTTGTGTTCAACGTGAATAACCTGTTATTGTGATCTCGATGCTTTCTTGCGGGAAAGCGCTGCTTGCCCGTGTGAATCTTTGGTGGTGGTTGGCTGGGTGTACACCCACTGTGCACGTTGTTCACGGCAGGGTACTGCCCAAGCCAGCACGCAATTACGAGCACACATCTCTCCATTCTGTGCACGCAATTTTCTGCTTTTGCTCCAAGTTTTTGGTCAGTGTCTTATATTTCTGAACTGTGTATCATTGCAGGTAATATATACTGATAAAAAAAAACATCTTCATGCTTCTTGTTATCAAGTTTGGCATTCCAAAAGTGCTCCAACCTGTTCTCACCTGCCTCTATTTCATAATTTTGATCTCAGTGACTGTCAGTGGCATACATATTCTCTAGATTTTGCCAGTTCTTTGCCTCCTAACAGATGCTTCCCATTGTTAATCTAACTTGTTGTATGTGACTTTTGCTTTGCGCATATTTACCAGCTATAAGCCCCACTTTGCTGCCTGTTTTTAAATCGTATATCCGTTAGTGCACTTCCAATGAATCTTTCCGAGTAAGCCTCTCCGTGGCCATGGCTTTAACCCCCGGGTGTGCCAGCTGCACCTTCGTCTACATTTGCATATTTGTCATTTTCACTCCCAGCTGTTGTCCTAGCCCCCCAGTCACGCCTGCTGCAAATAGCGCCTTCAGTCAGCTGTCTCCATTGGTGCTCGGTAAAAAAAAAAATCTTCAACAAAGTCTTTTCAATGTGTTTGAAAGTGCAAGGGTGGGGGGAGTGGGGGTGTGCACAATCTGCTGATTGAAAATGTTGTGATGTAAACAAACATTTGAGACTATAAAATAACTTGCATTAATCCAGTGCCTCTTAACCTGGGGGGTGCACGCACCCCGTGGGGGGGGTGCAAGATGCCCTTTCTGGGGATGCGCAACATGGGCAGATTTTTTTTTGTTAGAAGGTAAATAATCGAAAAGACAAATTAAGAATGGGCACGTAAGTACAACTTCTTTGTTTCATGAAACCTATGCATTTTTTTTACGTAATAAAAATTACGATTGGGAACCAAAGGGGTGCAAGGGTGCAGTAAAGGTGAAGAACCACCACGTTCACGTAACTGTAAAGCATCACGCGGGATTTTATTTGCAAATAATTGTGCGTATGTAATTTGTCTGGTGGCAGTGGGTTATTAGAACATCCCAAATCACAATTGGAAGGTAATGAGTTCAAATTGTAGCTGGGGATCAACGTGGGCTCCACAACCCTCCCGCAGCTGACAAACTGGCGCTGGTGTAATGCGTGTGCAGTCAACAATGCTTGTTTCTTTCAAGATATTGGCCCCTGTCATGGAAATGGGCAGCTTTTTGCCAATGGCTCAGGGCGGTGTTAATTTAGTCGGATTTTTGTTTTTACTTGAGTCGTTATTCAAGTCCCCTAAAGCAGTCAAAGCTGTCCACTGTTAGTTAATCAATGTTGGTGTGAGGGGCATGCAATCCACCACCCCCCCCCCCCCCTTCCAATATTAACAGGTCAGCCAATCGGTGAACTCGGTAAATCGGTTTATATCCTCATAAATCCAATGATAAGTTTTGGTCGTCCTCTGTGCATTATCTCGGTCTGCGTCTTCATCAGGCAGACTCGTTAATTCTGTCGGGTCATGGGAAGTCACCTTTGGTATTTGGCGGGTGTAGTCATCGTCACACTTGATTATTTTAATACACTCATAGTCGTGAATTACTAAAATGAAAAACACTTTGTTGACAAATATTTTCATCGCTAATTTCGTTATCAAAAATAAACATGGATTGGGTGCAACTAAATGGAGATGAAAACCACACAACACTCGTTTCCAAAGGGAGAAACTTCTAATTGGACAGACTGTGCCTTGAAGATCGAGAGGTCATCGTGGCCATGGCCTTCGATGCCACTGCTTCGTTCCTTCTCCCAAAAATCCACAGCTGTTGCACTGCTGATAATGCGCCCTCCATGGCCCAGTCTTAGAGTATCCCAGAATCTGGGTTCAGGTATTCCCATTGGTCACTGACCTCTGGATGCCACTCCAGTTCTTGTCTTGATAACCTGCCTTCCTTCTTCCACCCTGCACATGTGCACTAACCATCACAATCTCCTCTTTCTGATTACATCTGTAATGTTCTTCATTCTTTGTGAGAATTGTTATTGCCTCATTGAAATATATAGCAATACGAATTCAGGAATACTTGTGTTTTTTCTTAGAATTCATTTCAATGCCAATGCAGGCAATAACCATGCTATAATTATTTCTGTAGAGATACCCACTTTTGGGTTGATGCAATGGCAATAGCTGTGGCATCGCTATATTGGATGCATCGTGGTCTCGTGTTGGGTGGGAGCGCCAGGGTATTCAGAATGTTGGCGTCTCCATCCAGTGGATTTCTTTATTGTTCATTACTTGTGTGTGGCTATGGTGTTGCAAGGCCCTAATGAGAATTTTCATTGCCAGCCATACCACATGTACTCAGAATGTGCTTGACACATTTTATATCCATCTGGAAAGTCTGAAAAATCAGGCCTGCCAATCAGAAGTGAAATTCAAGACAATCTAGGCAAATTATTTTTCCGCCAAAAACAGTTTCACGTGGTATCCAGTGATTTATTTTTTGTCCGAAGATGAAATACATATTTAACACATTCTACATAAGTAAATCGTCTTTTTTTATCATCCAAAACTTATGCACTATTCATGTGACAGCGCATCGATTTAAAGTGATTTTTATTCTAACAATGAATACATTGGTTTGTGCATTTAAAATCCATTAAGGTCTGTGTAAATTATATTATAATGTTACATTTAGGGTATTTACCAAAGAAAATTGTACAAACGAGATGTAAATAGCAAGTATTATAAACACAAGACCAAAAAATAACGGTGACAGTTCATCAAATTAATTCATTTGGGGGGGGGGGTGGTGGGTGAATTGTTACGTGCCTGATTAGAGGTGGCAGCAGTGGTTAGCCGCATTGCGCCGTGGACCCGGCAACCTGACTTTGATTCCTGACCGAGCATTGACGAATAATACCTAGATCTGGTCCTGTGCGCCTCCTTCAACAAATCGGGACTGACCATCATAGAGAAGTGTGGCAAGACAATCTCCATCTCTGAAAGGACGTGTGGAGGCCTTCATGTCATAATCATACCCTTGAGTTGTCTCGTGTGTTGCCAGTGATGGGAGGGTGGATATTGGGTTGGTGGACTGTAGCCAGTGGCTTTCTTTTCGTCAGTGTGCATTTCGGCCACAATGCTCATAGTTATTTTGGCTTTTTTTAAATAATATTGTGAAATATTTGTAAATATTGTGCATTGTTTTCTTCTGTTTTCAACTCTAGGGACCTCTCGGACAATCCACTCGCTAACATATCAAGCGCAACCTTCCTTGGATTTACAAGCCTGGCGTACATGTAAGTTGGCTGCGGAATTCTTTTCGCAGTATTGTAATTACACTTTTATATATTGGCACAGACGAATAACACTTCACCAACACTTCCTACATTTAATAATACACCAACACTTCCTAAATTTAATAATATTAACTTCGCCTTCTCTAAATATTAGCTTTGTTTTAGTATTCCTATTCAGATGATTGAAGCATTTAAATATGCATATCTGAATATGAGTTTAGTCTGAATAAGAGTGGAGAATAGGGAACGGGAGCAGCGACAACGACATCTCTCGTCGTGGGTACATGGGGAAGGAGAGAGACGAGACCGAGAGAGACGTACGAGAGAAGGACAGGAAGACAGAGCTAAACAGCGGGACATACAGGGAAACTGCAGGACACAAAGACAGGGAGACAGGGGGACCGAGAGAGAGAGAGACAAGAGTGCGACAGAGGGACAGAGGTTTGGTTTCTGGGCCTGTACATCATTGGCATTTGAATTAGTCCTGGACCTCTGCTAGGTCATCTCACCCTAACATTATCTAACCGTCTGTCTGTCTGCGTACGCTCGCTTGCGGGGGATTTGGCTCTCGGACCGTGGGGTTCGCGTATAAAAAAAATTGCCGGGCGATACGCCCCAGGCCCCGCGGTGGGAATAGGCTATTTCGTTTTCCCATCCCTAAACTTTAAAGTGGTTAAAATCGCGTTTTTGGCGCGATATTTATTTATTTACTTTTGCCGACCGGCTCGCTGCTGCGCATGCGCGAAACGCCAACACGAGTTGCCCCTGGCAACGCACTCACGCCGCCGTTGTAGGGTGGACGCCATTTCTCATTCAAAATGCAAAAAAATGACACGCAACGCTGAGGTAAATTCATCAAAGTGTCACGTCCTCTTCTCTCCCCCTCCATCCCAATGTGTGCACTTACTATTATAGGTTCGGTAGATACTAATATTAAAGCGATTAAATAGTATTTTTGAAGTGTGAAGGGGGGGTGGTAGCGGCCCAGCCCACAGCCTCGGCTGGCCGGGCAATCTAGGCGAGACCGGGGGCTCTGCACGGGACTAGGCCTCGTCACAGCAATCTGTCTGTTGAGTACTTTGTGCTATAGAGTCGATATATGCACTGCTACTAGCGGGAGACATTTTAAAACGTCTGAAAATTAAAAAAAAACATAACATACAAATGAAAAGATAACTCAGTAATTTAAAATAAAATAAAACCCGAACGTGCCAAGAATCGATTCTTTAAATCGCGCAAAGGAATCGAAGGTTGTAGATTTCTTTAGAATCGTCTTGAAGCGACAACACGCAATAGAACCATCCTGGATAAACCAGCAAATCTTTAAAAAAAACGTATTTTAATGCTGTGTGCTCAAATCCCAGTGTGATGCAAGTCAAACAATAACAACCATAAGATAGATTAACCATATGTTTTCTAAATCACCAAAATAAAGCGAGAAAAAACAACGTAACAACAGTAATCATAGGAACTGATTCTCATTTAACAATAAACGATATAAATAACATGTACGACCAAACTAGGAGCCATAGCTGGCAGCATGACACTCCCAGTGTATGATGTGTGAGTGAGTCAGTGGTAGTGTGAGTGAGTGTATGATGTGTGAGTGAGTCAGTGGTAGTGTGAGTGAGTGTATGATGTGTGAGTGAGTCAGTGGTAGTGTGAGTGAGTGTATGATGTGTGAGTGAGTCAGTGGTAGTGTGAGTGAGTGTATGATGTGTGAGTGAGTCAGTGGTAGTGTGAGTGAGTGTATGATGTGCGAGTGAGTCATCATATGATGAGTGAGTGTATGATGAGTGAATTAGTGTATGATGAGTGAATGGGTCAGTGGTTGTGTGAGTGTATGAAAATATAAGTTGGTTGCATGTATGCTAAACATTTCGAACAGACACACATTCACAAATTTTCCTCTCATATATAAGATAGAGTCAGCATGTACTACTGTAGTGAAAGCTGTAATCATAGCAGGAACCACCATAATCGGTATGCACTGCTGTAGTCATAGCAGGACACCACCACAGTTAGAATGCAATAATGTAGTCATAGCAGGATACCACCACAGTCAGCATGCAATGCTGTAGTCATAGCAGGATACCTCCACAGTCAGCATGCAATGCTCTAGTCATAGCAGGATACCACCACAGTCAGCATGCACTGCCGTAATCATAGCAGGATACCACCACGGTCAGTATGCACTGCTGTAGTCATAGCAGGAAACCACCACAGTTAGCATGCAGTGCTGTAGTCATAGCAGGATACCACCACAGCAGTATGCACTGCTGTAATCATAGCAGGTACCACCACAGTCAGTATGCACAGCTGTAATCATAGCAGGTACCACCACAGCAGTATTCACTGCTGTAATCATAGCAGGAACCACCACAGTCAGTATGCACTGCTGTAATCATAGCAGGTACCCCCACAGTCGGTATGCACTGCTGTAGTGACAGCAGGTACCACCACAGTCGGTATACACTGCTGTCGTGACAGCAGGTACCACCACAGTCGGTATACATTGCTGTAGTGATAGCAGGTACCACCACAGTCGGTATACTCTGCTGTCCTGATAGCAGGTACCACCACGGTCGGTATACACTGCTGTAGTGATAGCAAGAACCACCACAGTTTGCACTGCTGTAACCATAGGTCCCACCACAGTCCTTATGCTCTGCTGTTATCATAGCAGGTACCACCACAGTTAGTATGCGCTGCTGTAATCATAGCAGGTCCCACCACAGTTAGCATGCAATGCTGTAGTCATAGCAGGATACCACCACAGCATGCAATGCTGTAGTCATAGCAGGATACCACCACAGCAGTATGCACTGCTGTAATCATAGCAGGTACCACCACAGTCAGTATGCACAGCTGTAATCATAGCAGGTTCCACCACTGCAGTATTCACTGCTGTAATCATAGCAAGAACCACCACAGTCAGTATGCACTGCTGTAATCATAGCAGGTACCACCACAATATGCACTGCTGTAATCATCGCAGTTATCACCACAATATGCACTGCTGTAATTATAGCAGGTACCACCACAGCAGTATGCACCGCTGTAATCATAGCAGGTACCACCACAGTCAGTATGCACTGCTGTTTTGAAAGCAGGAACCACCAGAGTCAGTATGCACTGCTGTCGTGAAAGCAGGTACCACCACAATATACACTGCTGTAATCAAAGCAGGTTCCACCAACAGTATGCACTGATGTAATCATAGCAGATACCACCACTGTCAGTATGCACTGCTGTAGTGATAGCAGGTACCACCTCAGTCGGTATGCACTGCTGTAGTGATAGTAGATACTGCTATCGAGTTGGTAGATACTACTATATAGAGTTAGAAGATACTAAAACAGTCAGTATATACCACTCCAGTCAGTCAATACTGCTACAGTCAGTATATACTACTATACAGTCAGTACATACTACTACGGTGAGTAGCTACTAGAGTCAGTATATACTACTATAGAGTGAGTAGATACTACTATAGAGTGAGTAGATACTGCTGTAGAGTTAGTAGTTACTACTATAGTTAGTGGATACTACTATAGAGTAAGCAGATACTACTATACAGTTAGTCGTTACTACTATAGAGTCGGTAGATACTACTGTAGGCCCAGTAAATACTACTACTACGGTCAGTAGTTACTGCCTCAATCAGTAAATGCTACTACACAGTCAGTAGCTACTACTGGCTCAGTAGATACTCTACAGTCAGTAGATACAACTACAGAGTCAAGAGATACTACTTACTCTGTTGTATGTAGGGTGTGTAGGTATAGATACCTACGCGGGGGTAAATATATATATTTTGAGGGGGGGGGGGTGTCCACAATTTTCGGAAACCTTTTAAATCAACTATTTACCCCACACTTCCTATTACTTTTTGGACTTTTGCAAGCTTCTCATAATTTTGTTGGTGGTGAAATGGACAAATGTCCCACCGGGCTTTCACAATATCTTAGTATCTGTGTATGTATATGTAAAGTTTTTAAGAGTAGTTCTAAAATATTTTTTTGACCCGGGCAACGCCGGGTACTTACCGCTAGTATTTTACATAAAGATGATATATTGACAACAGCCCTTCTTTAGATCAGCATTGTTATTTAAAAACTAGCCTTTTGCCCATCCTAGGACGGAAACTGTAATATTAAAGATGTACATTTACGTTTACTTGTGTGATTGTAATTTTTTTTTAGGAATTGTTGCACGTAAATTTTTCTTAATTAAAAAAATGAAATTAAGGACTTTGGAAGATTTCTCAATATACGATATTTTGTGTGAATCTCTTATCACTGTTAAAAATGTTTCCCTGTGGTTGACTTTTTGATGGACACTTTGATCCGCTGAGGATTTTTAGATCTAGACAGAGCCACGTACAACTGGCCATGGGAAAATAGGAGTCCATTGAGATAAATACCCACATTTTCAAAAGTCTGACCCTGGGACTTGTTGATCGTCATCGCATACGCAGGAATTATCGGAATTTGTCGTAATTTTGACCAGAGTATTATTGTATCTTGTGTAAATTTATTGGCAGTGAATCTTGCACAAAACGATGTAATCAAACACTGAACTGCATTTCACTGTTGTACTGTATTAATGGCAGTGATTGTTGCACGAAACTGTCATAAAACACCTCACTTAATGTCACTAGCACTGTATTTAACTCACCTTCAATTAGTTCAAAATCACTGCTCTGATACTTTATTTTCTTCTACTTTGGCTCACTGGGGTTGTAATGAATTTGAATTCCATAAAATATCTGGATATTCACAGAGAAATGTATATATTTTATCATAATTTAGAAGAAAAAAATTAGACATACCTTTTGTTTAAAGTGCTGAAAAAAGAAATAAAGACACCAAAAACACTTTGTTGCTGTGTATAATTATTTTTTTGATTCACTTTTTCAATAAAGAAACGTCAAATGGAAAGCGAATTTGCATTAAAATATTTCATTCCGCTTGATCTTCTTCTGCGGGAGTGTAAAA